TTCAGAGAGGAAGGGAGAGAGATAGAAACATCAATGATGAGAGAGACTCATCGATTGGCTGCCTCCTGCCCACCCCCTAACTGGGGGGGATCAAGCCCACAACCCAGGCATGTGTCCTTGGCCGGAATCGAACCTGGGACCCTTTAGTCCACAGGCCAATGCTCTATCCACTGAGCCAAACCAGCTAGGGCTGTCATATTGTTTCTTAATCTAGGTGCTGGTTATAGGCATGTGTTCTCTTTGTGAATAGTTGATTTGTGCACTTGTCAGTATGCATGTTATATTTCAGTTTAAAAACATTTTTATTTATTGATTTGAGAGATTTGTTGTTCCATTTATTGATATATTCATTGGTTGATTCTTTTTTTTTAATATATTTTTATTGATTTTTTACAGAGAGGAAGGGAGAGAGATAGAGAGTCAGAAACATCGATGAGAGAGAAACATCGATCAGCTGCCTCCTGCACACCCCCCACCGGGAATGTGCCCGCAACCCAGGTACATGCCCTTGACCGGAATCGAACCTGGGACCTTTCAGTCCGCAGACCGACGCTCTATCCACTGAGCCAAACCGGTTTCGTCTTTTTTTTTTAATATAAATTGGTTGATTCTTGTATGTGCCCTCACCAGGGATGGAATCCACAACATTGCCATATCAAGATGACGCTCTAACAATGAAGCTACCCGACCAGGATGAGACAATTAAAAAAAAAATGTTTTTATTGATTTGATAAAGGGAAAGAGAAACATCGATGGCTGCCTCCCACACGCCCCCTACTGGGGATGGATCCTGCAACCAAGGGCATGTACCCTGACGGAGAATCAAACCTGCGACCTTTTGGTGCATGGGACGAGGCTCAGGCAACTGAGTCACAGCGGGCAGGGCCGATATTTAAAGTTTATAGAAATTGAGAGGTTCATTATCAATTCTTGCATCATCTATCTAGTGCGTGCCCACTGCACTGGTCGTTAGGCGCTGAGATAATGCAGGGAGCCCGAGCATCTCCGCCTCCCATTTCTCCCCCGTGATTGGCTGACCTCCTGGCCAATGGCGGAAGACTACACCGCTCTCTGCGTCTCCCGCAGCATCAGCGAGCTGCAGCTCCGCAGTTCCGCTGGTAGGTGGCGCTGTGAGCACACCGACGCCTCGGTCGAGGGCAAACTTGGTCCCCACCCTCTCTGATTCCTCCTGATTCTGAGAAATGGAGAGAGACTATGCTCCAGCACCTCCAGCCTCTTTGCAAAATTCTTTTGTGGCTTTTTCCGCCTGTACGTCTCTCCCATGCTGGTCCGGACTCCCAGGCCCCGCCTTGTACCTACTCTGGCTTTTGGGTCCCAGTCATTGGGGCCTCCAGGGCAGTGCTTAGGCAATCTTGACAGCGGCCCAGGCCGGCAGTCGGAACATCTTTCTGTCGAATAATTGTTTACTGGGCTATTTATTTATCCTGGAGTGGAGGCTAGCGGTGTGTATGCGGGCGGCTGCCCCAGGGAAGCCTGCTTCCTGTGGTTGGCTTGCTCAGCTGACACCCGCCCTCTTTAGCACGGGAAAGAATTGCAGAGCTGGGAGGACTTTCCTTGATGGTTCTGTTAGGTCATCCAGGGAAACCCTGCCGGAGCCCCTGCCTTATGCCTGGATCTATACTGGGGACATCAGCGGTGACCGAGAGTCCCAGCCGTGTCCTCACCGGCCTCACAGTCTGGTGGGAGAGAAAGACCCATCACCAGACATGGACAATCCAGGGTGGTCAGGGTTTGGGTGAAGGGCCCTTTGTGAGAATCAAGACGGGCAGTCTGGCCCAGCCTGGCAGGTCAGGGAGGGCTTCCTGGAAGAGGGGACATCTGAGCTAGCATCTGAAAGAGGGGTAGGAGTTACGCATGGGACAAGGACTGTGTCTTTTTAACTACCATGCATTTCTCCAGGGCCTGTCAACATCTCCTTTGTTTAACATTGGATTCTTTTATTTATTAATGAACAAATATTTATTGTGGATTATTTGCCAGATGGAGGAACTAGCCAGAGTCCCTGGCGTCAAAGGGCTCACACATAAAATGGTGATACTAATACAGAACTTCAAACTCTGATGGAGTGCTATGAAGAATGACGAGAGTGCCCTAGCTGGTTTGGCTCAGTGGATAGAGCGTCGGCCTGTGGACTGCTGGGTCCCGGGTTCAATTCTGGTCAAAGGCACATGCCTGGGTTGCAGGCTCGATCCCCAGTAGGGGGCGTGCAGGAGGCAGCTAATCAATGATTCTCTCTCATCATTGATGTTTCTCTCTCTCCCTCTCTGAAACTAATAAAAATATATTTAAAAAAAAGAAAAGAATGATGAGAGTAATCTATCCATTTGTCTGGGTTTGAATCGCAAATCTGCCACTTACTAGCTGTGTAACCTCTCTGTGCCATAGTTTAGTAGAATAATAACTATAGTCTAAACATTAATTAACTCACTCAATCCTCCACAACACCTTTTGAGTAAAGTGCTTCAGAATGTTGCCTAGCATAAAGTGCCTACTTTTATCAAAGAATGATGGGCCAGGACAAATCTGGGAGGCCACCCTGAGGAAGTGACTTCAACTTGAGACTTGAAGGATAAGGAGTTGATGGGCTTAAAAAGGGGGAGGGGCCCGGCTGGGGTGGCTCAGTGGTTCAGCATCAACCTGTGAACCAGGAGGTCACAGTTGGATTCACCGTCAGGGCACATGCCCGGGTTGTAGGCTTGAACCCCAGTAGAAGGCATGCAGAAGGCAGCCGATCAATGATTCGCTCTCATTATTGATGTTTTCCTCTCTCCATTTCCTTTCCTCTCTGAAATCAAGAAAAATATATTCTTAAAAAAAAGGGGGGGTTATCTAGGTTCAGTGAATGAACCTAGTCTTCTCTCTTCTCTAGGTGCTGCCACTTCACAAATTTCCCAAGGTTAGAAAAAACTGGAACACTGCATTGGAGTTATAAAGACATTAATTGGAGAGGGGAATCTGGTGCCCGCTTCCTCCGTTCTTTCTGGTGTTCCCTCAAGCAATTTCAAAATCACTTACAAACCAGGGTTGGCAGTAGTAGCCTAAAGAAAATCTAGTCCGCCCATGCACTTGGTTGGCTCCCAGTGCTTAAGACAAACTTCAAAAAAAAGGTCACTAACATCTAAGAATGAGATTTCATGCATTAAAAGTGCTAAATTTTTGCTCGGATGGCATGGCTCAGTGGTTGAGCATTGCCCTATGAACCAGGTCATGATTCCCAGTCAGGGCACATGCCCAGGTTGTGCTTGCTCCTCAGTGTGGGTGTGCAGGAGGCAGCCGATCCATGATTCTCTCATCAATGATGTTTCTGACTCTCTCCCTCTCCCTTCCTCTCTGAAATCAATACAAATATTTTTAGTGTTCATTTTTTTTAAAAAAAGGGGTCATGAAAACAATTCTGATCAGCAATCAGAAAACTTTTATTTAAATATGTTCTTATTTATTTATTTTTTTGGTAAGAGAGGGGAAAGGAGAGGGAGAAATAGAAACAGATCCCGGGCATGTTTGACGGGGAATCGAACTGGCAACCTCCTGGTGCACGAGAGGATGCTCAACCAACTGAGCCACACCGGGCTGGGCCAGAACTCTTTCATTTGATGGGGTGTCTTAAAACTTGAGCGCATGTAATTTTATCATCGCTTATAGAGCCAGGCATGATTTTCAGCGCTTTACAACTATAACTCAATCCTCACGACTCTACGAGGACGGTAAGATTATTATTCCATTTTATAGATGAAGACTGCGGAGAGAAACGCAAAGCGCTAGGAAGCACAGCCTTTCTTCGTGCATTCCATAAATACTGATTCTGCGCCCGGAACGCTCACCGTCCGTGATCCGTATTTCCGGGGGGTGGGGGGGGACGGGACCCAGAGGAACCCCTCCTCAGTTCGGAGGAACTCCAGTGTTACGGCGGGCAGCTTGCCGTCACTACTATTTCCCCTCCGCTCGCCCACGCTGACAGTTGCTTTGCAGTCATCTGTGCAATGCTGGCCGGAAAGCCAGGGCTCCCCTCCCGGCTTTCTGGAGACCGCAGAAACAAGAACCAGTAGCCTGGATGCGAGCGTTGTCTGCAGATTTCCTTCACCGCAGGGGAAAGAGCACGCGCTCCCCAGCCCCGCCCCTTCGCCAGCGACGACCAATGGCGAGGCTCGGTTGGGCTGAGGCGGGCCAACCCCTCCTCGTGCTCCCCAGTCAACTTCTCGGCTGGGGTGCGCTCCCCCCTCCTTAGCCCCTCCTCACCGCCCCACGTTACGTCTTCCCCTCTCTCCTCCTCGGTTACCCCGGGAGCTGCAGCTCGCGCGGCCAACCCACCTCCCCTGGCCTCTCATTGGCTGGTCAGGTCCCGCGCGAGCGGAATCGCCCCCGCCCACGCAGGACGGGCCGTGCCTCCCTCCAGCTTTCTCCCGGAGCCGGCGCGAGGAGCGAGGAGGGGTGGGGGGGGGATCGACTGCATCTGAGGCGCGCACCTCCCGCCGGCCACTCCCTCCGCCTCGCGCCTGCAGCTGCGGCGGCCCGCAGCCCCGGCCGCGCACGCGCACTGGCCCACCCCACGCTGCCCGGCCGCGGGGCGCCTCGCGCTCCGTCTCGCGCGCCGCAGTCACTGCAGTAGCGGCATTTTGCTGGGGCGCACGCGCACTGCGCCCTCCGCCGCGGCCGTTCCCAGCGCCAGGTCGCGACGGCGGCAGGGACCTCTCGAGGGTGCACGCGCCCCCGCCTCTCACCCTACTCCGCGCCGGCCGTGCCCCCCGCGGCGCGCTCCCAGGGGCCGTTATCCTGCAACGGTCCCGGCGCCACGCACGCGCAGTAGCGAGGGGGGCGCGCGCGAGGGAGCGGTGGCCGCAGGAAAGAGGTGCCGCCGCCGCCGCCATTGCGAAGGAGGGAGGGAAGGAGCGAGCGAGCGAGGCCGGTCCGCCCTCCCCCTGGTTCCCGCCCCTCCCCCTTCCCCTCCCCGCCCCCCCGGCCCCGAGGGAGAGCCGCGCCGCGGCGGGAGCTGCAGGAGGCGGAGGAGGGAGTCCGCGAGGGAGGGTCCGCCCGGCCCCCCGCCGCCGGAGCCGCCGCCGCCGCCGGAGCCGCCGCTAGACGAGGAGCAGCAGAACATGGCGCCGGGGCCGCCGTCGACACAGCCGGGATCCCGGAGGCCGGGGACGCGCTGATAGGCGCCCCGCTGGTGAGTGCGCGAGCTCGTGGGCCCC